TCTAACATGAGAAAGTGATGCTCCTCTTCTAGCTCAACAAGCTTTACAGTAGACAGAGGATAGTGTATTCTATTTCCAGGTGAAGCCATTGTTTTTTTTTAATGAGATTCAGTGGCTAGGTAGCTAAGCTTCTTTGAGAGAGGTGTTAGTGAGACTGAGCATTTCAAATAGGAACTGCACAGAAGAGACCAAGTGAAGAAAACCAGATTCCTGTTTCCCAAAACGAAGACCCTTGCGCCTCCACGAGGCACCTCCACCAGTGTGCGCTCTTGGGGCGACAAAATCATCTGTGGATCCCCAACATCGGCCCCATTTCCTGGGATGACTGTGGAAGTCCTGAGCAAGTTACAAAAAACAAACAAAACCTTGTGTGTTATGAGTCATGCTGTTAGGGTTTTTCTTCACTTTGGCTGCTGAGCAAGGGATGGGCCCTTAGGCTTCTTACTATACTTACTATCTCTCTGCCTTAAACTTTATCAATTTTTGTAAGATGTCAAATTATTTTTGGAAATAAGGGTAATATAAATGAATAAACATTAGCGTTTCTGACATACTTACTGATAAATTCTGCCTTTAACTACATCTAACTACTCCTAGACATACTTACACATTTAGTTGAAAAATCTTAATATGTTCAGATCCTAACATTAGTATACTCAAAGAGAATTAGGAGTGAGAGAACTGACGAGGTTTGGTAATCATCATAAAACAGTCTGTTCAAGGCTCAGCCTCAGCTTCTAACTCTGCCATAACATGCTGGACCATATCTCAAATCAGTGGGACCAGATCATCTCCAAACAGTGAACCAAGGAAGACTCTGCAATATGGGACTATAAAGGAAAGGCAGTGGACTGTGGCTGCTCCTCCTTGGTCTCCTTGCCCAATATGCAAATGGTGTAGCTTAAGTTATTCCCACTCGTAGCTTTTCTAAGTGGCTCGATCCTCATATGAGAATTAAGGCAACAGCAACCCAATAGGGTAGGCTGATCTTAAACTTACCAAGCTTCAGATTTGTGGTACAAAGGTCCCACCTCTAGGCAGTTAAAAGTATAGATTTGTTTTTCTTTTTTTTTTTGCAAAGATGACATTTTAGCAAATAGTATTACAATAGTCCCCCCTTATCTGTGGGGAATATGTTCCAAGACCCCTAGTGGGAGCCTGAAACCACAGATAGTAGCAAACCCTGTATATACTACAATTTTTCCTATATAAGTTCCTCAGTGGGTGCCTAAAAACCACATATAGTCCCAAACCCTAATTACGTTTTTTTCCTACACATACATGATAAAGTTTAATGTATTAATCAGACACAATAAAAGACTAACAATAATAATAAAATAGAGCAATTATTACAATGCTCAGAATGGCATGCAATTTAAAGCTTATGAATTTTTATTTTTATTTCTGTAATTTCTGATTCGCTATTTTTGGACCATGGTTGACTGTGGGTCAGTGAAATCATGACAGGCAAAACTGAAGGGGGGGGCTACTGAAGAAGGCACTGAGAAACAACAGACACCTTGTGAGACACTGCCACAGTCCTCAACACCCCGTTTCTGAGAACTGCTTCCCCCGCTCACCCTGCCCACGCCTACAGCCCTCCCAGCAACATGGTCCTCCCCCTGCTTCTCTGGCTGGAATTTACAGAGCCGCAGACTAATACCTGGCCCAAGTGAGCTTGGTACATTTTTCCCATAAGAAACCAGATCCCAGAACTATTATCCACTTCTAGTATCTGCTTCCACTTGGTGCCTGCCTGGACGTGTGTGGGGGGCACAGAGAAGCAGAGGACCCTGGTCTACAGAATGTATGTACGACCAACACACACACACACAACACAGGCGGGCCCAGGTGCGGGAGACAGATGGGAAAAGGGAGAGGAGGAAGGAGAGAAGGGCAGGGGAGAGGAGGGAGAAAGAGGGTGGAATAGGTTGGGGAGAAGGGCTGATACTCCTCCCTGACTGCGTTTCCCTTTCCTGGTTCCGATCCTACCAGAGGTCTGCCCATATCCCTGCACTTGGATGTCCTGAGCAATACTTGTATCTTTATTAAAAATGCCCTGATACCCTCTTTTTTCATTTGTGTGAGTTTGCTAGCACTATCAATTAAATAATTCAAATCAAGGGCTAGATGACAATTTCAATTTAAATGTCCCATGCTCTGATTTTATAGATGAGCTGCTGGCCACAAACTGGCTATCATTTCAGAGCAATGTTAACTATCGACTCAAAGAGTCGACATTAGCATTGTAAGGAAGCATGGATTCTGGGAGCCTTGGGGAAAAATATTAAGGGAGAAAAGTAGCACAGAAAAAACTGCCAGAGGGCCAAAAATCTAGCTTTTTGAGATACAGATATGAGTCTAAAACTAAACAATCAAACTTCGAAAAACATAAACAAAACATTAAGTTATCATAAATATTATTAGGTAACAAATGATTGGCATAATGAAGTCTTAAAAAATTTAGCTGTTAAAATACAACACACAGATATATACACCTATTTAAATAATGGGACACATATAAAAAGAAACATATATACTGGGTATATACATTTCCTGAAACTCAGATATTTTTCACTTGAAAAGATCAAGATCGTTATTCAGACACTATCAACATTTGCATCATAATTCTAAATATGTTGGTTTAACAAATTCCTATATACCAAGCAGGAAAATCATGTTAGAATTCTTAACAGAATAAGCCCAACTTCTCTTAATTCTTGTTAGAGTCATCATTTTTGTCATGTCCACTTGAAAACCATAAAATGCTAATGAGTGCAGATAATGGAATTAATGATATTACAACCCATAACAGCCAGGAAGATTCAGAAGTATATAATAAATGCAACTTGTTGTTCTGTAAGGTTTTGTGGAACCTAATATAATTTCTCCATCAGAATGTACAGTGTGAGGATCACAATTAATAATACTGTGTACTAGACATTTGCTAGGAGAGATTTCAGGTGCTTTTACCAAAAACAAAAAAAGTAACTGAGTTGATGGATGTGTTAATTTGCTTGAGTGTGGTAATCATTTCACTGTGTGTATCAAAATATCATGTTTATATACCTTAAATATATACAATAAAAAAGGAAATGTGTCTGTAGGAATGAACAGAAAACAAGCAAAAACAGAAATCAGCAATACATTTTATAATTAAGTCATAAAAATTTTATGCCATGTTAAAGCAAAGGAAGATTTAAAAATTAAAATGCTTTTTAGTTCTATTGTGCAGTGTGTGAATATAGTTAGTAACAGAGTGTTATATAGCTCACAATAGCTAAAGAATAAATTTCAAACATTCTCACCACAAACAATGTTAAGTATTTAGGTGGCAGATATGTTGACTAGTTTAATTGTTCATGCTGTATTCATAATTCATAACATCACTTTGTATCCCACACATTTATACAGTTATAAATGATCAATTTACAAATAAAGATAAATAAATTAAAATATAAGAAGCTGATAATAGTTCTTTTAACTCATTAATAAAACTGACATTTAGGAAAGGTGTTTCTCTAATTTAAATGTTGTTGTTTTCCTATAAAGGATCCTATAGGTAACAAAGATGTCATATTTTTTCATATAAAAATCTATTCACCATGGTAATCTAACCTAAATGCTCCAATATTAAGCCATTATCAGCTTAATAAAATGAGAAAGTTAGAGAAAAGGTACGTAAAGGTACTTATTATGTTAGAAAGAGAATTTTTGTGTTTTTCCTTCTATATATATCTGGCACCTAGAAAAGTGCCTCGTAGGTGTTGAATGCTTAAATGATTTTTTTTTTCTTTTACAAAGGCCTAGGGTTGTAGTGTAGCCGTACTGGTCCTCTCACATTCTCAGAGACTGTTACGGTTTGAATGCTTTTCCCTTCCAAATCTCATGCTTTAATTTAATTGCCATGGTAACTGCACTAAGAAGGGGAACCTTTAAGAGAGGATCAGGCCACGAGGGCCCCACCATCACGGGTGGGACTGGTGCCCTCACAAAAGGGCAAGTTTGGGTCTCCCCCACTTCTGTCTTCCCCCACCAAGTGACCCAGCATAACGCTTGATCTTGGACTCTCCGGCCTTCGGAACTCTGAGAAATAAATTTCTGTTCTTCACAAATTACCCAGTCTCAGGTATTCTGTTACAGCAGCACAAATGGACCAAGACAAAGACACATGGAAGCACTTTATGGCCATCGAAACTTCTGCAGGGCCTGGCTACGCAGGAAACCTACCTGAGCGCCAGATGGGCATTGTCCTCCTCTGCCGCGGACCCGTCACGAGACTGGAGCAGTGTTGTGACCAATCTAACTACTGACTTTTCCATCCGTAAAGTTTGGCAACCGTAAGAAATGAAGCTTTGCAGTTGCTTCCAGTTCTATAATTTTGCAACTATAATCTACTCAAAAAATATTTTCTAAAGCTAATTTTCTAAAGCCACTAAAAATATGATTTTTAGTGTATACCAATTCTGCTTAGTTAAACCGTCAGAAGCATACTTATGATACAAAGGCAGGGACACACACAACTTTGACTCTGAGCACTTTGTCACTTGGGATAATATTTGAAGTAGCATCAGCATATAAGGAGAAGCTTTATAGCAAATAAAATACCTAACCTTAGAAAAAGACAGACACATAGCAGTTCACATTCTAATTTCTGTGGACTACTTTAATGGTCAAATACTTAAGTATCGGTTTCGCTTTATTTTTATAAAATAAAACTATTCGTATTCTATGACAATCACACATTTAACATCTCTCCCCCCTCACTAGACTATAAGCTCCATGAGGACATGAGTTAACGTACACAGGGACTGAGATCTGGAATATTTGACTCTAATCTTCCTGTAGCCTGCCCAGATTCCACCTACTACTTTCCTTGATCAATACTGAGAGTTTTCTTATCACATGTAAAAAATTAATGGTTCCAAAACTGTTCTTGAAGAATTCATGGGAATCACACAATTTGAGACAATGGAGGCTCAGAAGGTGAAGAGCGTTACCTGGGCAAGCCTGAGCTTTTCGTTTCCTCCCTTTTCATTATGCAGCATGTAGACTGGGGTGTACTGCACAGAACCAGAGCAGGTCCCATAATCTTCTTCATTTTCCTACATATGAAAAAACATATAGTTATTTTAAAGTGCTCCTTTTATTATGAAAATTATTGGATTAATAAAGTATCTGATATACATGCTAATAACAAAATAACACTTCTGCTGTAAGTTTAAAGAATCTATTAGGAAGAAAATGTATTTTTCAATAATATGAATAATTTCCAAAATAATTCTTATATCTTGAATAATTTGAATAAAGTTTATATGAGGACAATTTGCTCTATCACTACCCTGGAAGTTTTAAGTAGCATGTGTTCTCTAAAGGTAAAAATTGTAAGAATAATTGATAAAATCTGCAAAGATGTAATACATAATCAAATCATATACATACATATATACACATAAATATTCATATACTTGCATTATTCATAGCTTCCAACACAAATCCTCATATATAATCTTTCATAAATTAAGAACATTCTTCAATTTAAAGTAACTACTATTAGAAAGAGCCTATAAAACCAAACGATGGCATTCCTGGCTTAATTCTACACCAAAGGTATCTTTAAAAAAAATTCTCAGCTTGAAGTAAGAACTTCAATTGTGATATCAAGGCAATCAACTTTATGAAAACATACATCCTGTTAAACCATCTTTGAAGATCTCCACAGTTCTGTGATAAAATATGCAAACAATAAGGAGATTATGCAGTGGATGCATATAGAATGGCAGAGAGTTGCCAGAGGGCTTGTTATAAAAAATACATTCTGGAACAAAGGGCTAAGTATATTTCAAAAGTCATTGAAAACATAAATCTCATGGGATTTGTAAAGTATAAACTTCAAACTAATACACAGGAATCAAGGTAGAACAGGAAGAAAGAATATAACACACCTTGTGTTTTAACTTACTCCTCACTTCCTTCAGTCCCAGCTTTGCATGACTTTTTGCCTGGAAAATGATAATAAATGTGTCTGGCTCAGCATGATTTTACTACCATTTAAAGAATAAGCACACAAGATCACATTTAATGAAAATGTCTAACTATTCATATTATTTAGAAAAAACAGATTATAATCTAAAACTCTATTTTCAGGGATACCATACCACTCACTATTTTATTATACCTAAATTAGCTGGTAAAAACACAGTCTGTTACTTGCATACAAATATATGAAGGCTAACACTTAGCCTATTTTGCCTTCTAAACTATAAAGGACATGAAGGGAATCCACCAGGTTACTAATGCCTAATTTTAATTTAAAATTGTGACAAACTGGAGGGGGAGAAAGTCCATCCAGCATTGTTTATTTGGGCAAATGTTTGAACATTAGGAAGCTCAGGCAACTTCACGGAGCTTTATTGAAGCACTTTTATAGGCAGATACAGATTTTTATTAGCAGAGCCATCTTGACGGAATGGCTACTTCATACATGGTCTTTCTGGCAAAAATTAAGAGTCATTTAACAATTTACAAGTTATCCTTATGTCTCGCCAGGAATCCGGCTCCAGCACCCCGAGCCTCTCGGGTCCTGCTGTGCTTCTCTGGGGTGAAGCTGAATCAAAGGCAACCAGGGCTTTCACAAAAGCTTCGGCCTTTGTGCCGCTGGAATTCCCACTCGCAGTGGCCACAGTGAAAAGCAGAGAAAAGGAATTCACATTTATTTTGTGTTTACTGAATACATGACTGTGCTCTGGGCGCTTGGCATGCATTATCTCATTTAGTCATCATGACAACTCTGGGAGATGAGCACTAGTATTATCACGCTTCACAAACAAGGAAAGTAACTGAGGGGGCGGGTAAGTCCTCCTAGCCGAGGTCTGTTTAATTATAAAGTCTAATTTCCTCTCTTCTCAAAGGGAAAAGAGGAACTAAGGTTTTAAAAAGACATCCACTGAATTTAGGTCTCGCCAAAAAGAAACATTTGTGACCTCATTCTAGAGACATAGAGACTGAGGTCATGCAGACTTATGACTCCAGTGCCAAAACCCTTGCTCCTACTAACTCATCCTGCTTTCCCCCAAGTTGCTTCTGGAAAGAGCAAATACATGTCTTTCCCAAGTTCCTTGAAGGGAGGGATCTTAATTTCTTTCCAGTTAATATCTGCATTACTCAGCACAGTTATTTGGCATAGAAAAACTACTGGAAATGCCTTGAAATGAACAATTATTTCTTTGTTGTAAACAAGGCAAAATCAAAACATATTGCACACATGATAAAAGATAATCTGAAAAGCCAAATAACATGAAATTATATGCCATGGTTCTTTAGAGTCAATAAAACATTTGTACACTGTTGTATTTGTAAAGCCACTAAATCTATTTAAAGGGTTCTATATTAATCCTATATTTCCATTAGGTAAAAATATATAATTGCCAAGAAAAAATGCTTCTGTTTCCATCCCCTAGAATTTGTGCCCATCTTTGCTCACATTAGACTATAGTCTAGTTTATCTAAATATCCTCTAATCCACCTGACCACACTAATCTTTTCAAACGCTCCTTAGTGTACAAAGTTGAAACTAGTGTTGGTCCCTTTCATGGTTCTGTAATTCATGCTCTGACTCATTTAAATGTCTGTTGCCCGATCTCCTCCTTTGACCTCTTTAAAATTCCCTGGAAGAGGGGATATAGGTTCTCTCTCTGCTTTTCAACTTACCAGGTTGAAACTTAATATACAAGCATTCTCTGCAGAAATGCGCAGAGCAAATGGCTCTGACTAGTAATTTAAAATGCAAAGACCTGACAAGAAAGAGGACCAAAGAAACTTTTAGACAAACAAAACATACAATTCGCTTTGCTGGTTTCTAAGAAAGGTGTGTGTTAACTCTAGTGTTCTTTGTGGCTCTATGCTTACGCTATGGAAAAGCGTAAGCATAGAAACTATAAAAAAAATTAAGCAAAGAAATAAGCACAGAAAAACGTTATGCAAGTACAGGACAAATCATTTGCTTTGACAAATACATGTATTCGGTATTTTTCCAGTGTGGTCAAAGCACAGAGCAAAGCGACAGGGACACAAAAACAGAGCAGGGACAGCCCCTCTTAACTCACACAACTCCTGCCACACTCTCTGCTCTCACTCCAGTGACAGGCACAAGCCCTACCGCATGACAGGTGCTCAGATAGTTTGTTGAATGAATGAAATAGATCTCATGTTTGAAAAATGTACTATCTATGAAAACCAAGGTGAATAAATTCTGTTATACCCACGCAACAGAAATTGGGGGTTTTCTTCATAGCGATTTGAAGTCAAAGAAGGAATTTCAGTATACAGATTTCAGAACACAAGCAATCTGGAAAGATCACTTTTTGGTACAACTATGAAGGTCACAGAATCACTTATTTGCCTGCAACAAACCTTCTGATTCACATATGACATGATCACAAAATAAATGATAAAAAAGATTGCGTATATTCTAGGGACCTTAATTTGCCTGAAATTAATTTAGGGAATAATCCTCCAAAGAGCAGACCTTTTAATTTGGAAAGATTTTACCACCTTGCAAAGAAGTATTAGAAATAAAATACTCTTACCAATTGAAAGGACAAATTTTTAAATAATAAATAAGGTTTTGAGCATGTTTGCTTCATCATTGAACTTTTATGAAAGATATGAGTGAAATTAAGGAGAAAAACACATATTTGGCAAAACAATACACCTTCTCTAAGCCTAAAGGAAAACTTCAAGTGCTCACTCAAGAAAAAAAACGAGGAGCTGTTGACTACGAAATCACTTTTAGAATCTTCGATGATACCCATTTAGATATGAGAAATGAGGCTCAACATTAGTTTGTTTTTTCACAGGGCTGCTATGTGCTATTTTATTGTGAAGAAAATCTCTTTAAACACTGTAATTAAATCACACCACCAGAGAAGTCTTCCAGCAAAGACATGGGAAAACCAAACAAAAGGCAGAGGCTGATGTGTCTAAGGCAAAATGATGACCTCTTGCTTTTGCTTTACATTAGGCTTCAAATGGTTCAGAATTTTGGTACTATGATTTTGAATCAACCCTGCTATCAAATGTAATCTTTGAAATAGGTTTTTTAAACAGAATGGGTGGCTACATTTATATTGCAATTGTAAGTCAAGAAAAGAATATGATTTCTAAACTTTTATTAAAACTATATTATTTTATTATTAATTCAATCATATCAATTCATTTGCTGAGAAGGCTTTTGAAGATAAATTCTTACAAAATCAAAACCATTGCCCTAAATATTTTTAGAAATATAAAATACATGACCCATTGAATTAAAAATAAAACTTTATTGAATACCAACACACTAGCTTCTCTCGCGAGAAGCTGCTGGTCTAATATTAGAGACAAACACACGGAAAGACAAAACAAGTGCTGTAGTGTCCTGCAGACCCTACGGACACGCAAAAATAGGGACACAAACTCTTTCTGTGTAGGGTTAGAAAATTTTTTTTCAGGGGAAATACTGCCTGACCTAAACCCTATAAAAATGAACTGGTGTTCGCAAGGGGAATAAAGGCCAGCAAATGGACACCCCAAGTTGTAGGAGTAGCTTGAGTGAGAACGGAAGGGCAGAAGGGAACGTTTCACATTCATGAAAGGAGGAGCAGCTGCGGACCTTCAGATACGGGAGGTTTGGGGAAACGAGAGGAAAAGGAACAGGACGTAGGAGGGGCTGGGTTTTGAAGGGGCTTAGTTGTAATATTAAAGAGATTTTTATTTTATTATTTACTTGCTGTTGCTAGTGTTCCTGTTATTATTTTACTATATGCCATGAAGAGTATTAATTATGGAGAGCCAATATATCTTTGAGGAAAAAGATTTTGCTATATTTTTCTATTTTTTTTCTACTTGAGCCTCAAGTATTCAACAAGAATTTAAAACATATTGTTGAATGAAAGAATCAAATTTAAAAAAATGGTATTCTTCATTATGGACTGTTTCAATTTGCTACACGATTTTGCTGATAGCTTTGAAATAAAATAAAGAATCATTTTTACAATTATAAAGGAAATACCCTTTCTGTGCACTGTTATAATTTTAATAACTTAATTTGCTTTGGTCATTATTAACCCTAAGCTTTTCTAAAAGCTTATCTAGAAGAACAGTATAAAATATTCTAAATTTACATGTTTATCATCTAGGAAAATGTTAAATATCAAATAAAAACTTACAAATTTATACGCTGTCCGTACAGCAGGAGTGGCTTTGGTCACTGCTGTGTTGAACAGTGCGCCTCCTTTCTACAAAAGAGAAACAAAAACTCATTCCCCAAATCTCTTCCCCAGAATGTCCTAAAAACAAGCATTATTAGTGGTATAGAAAAGAGCTTTATGCACAACTTAAAGACACATAAAAATTATGTCATGTTTAGTGTTTTCAAGTTTTTATATACTATAATAATTTCAAACAAATTATAAACATCCTACTCTGTTCTTTTAGTTAGTGTAATACACCACTTAAAAATCATTTCTTAAAATTTAGGCAGACTTGAATAATATGACCAGGAATATGTATATACTTAAAGCTTAAAAGAAATGAAATACAAGTGGTTTTTTTTTTGTTTTTTTATATTTTTTTCTCTTTTTTTTTTTTTGAAGAGGAAATGAAGTCAGAAGAAATACAGTGTTTATCAACTGTTTTAATGTTGGCAATAAGCCTCAATCTGTGAAAGATTTTAAAATTCTCTCAAATCTTACTACCCCACCTATTCCTTGCTCTGGATGTAATGTAGGGTGACATTGAATCTTGCTTTCAAAAGAAACCATTTATCTCCGGGGAAAAGTTTCTATTTAAATTATCCTTTGTGAATATCAACAAACTAGAAATAAACTAAAATATTTTGAATGCAACACAATACACAAACATTTCCCAATATTGCAAATAAACAGGCGTAAGTATCAATAGCGTACTTTTACTGAACACACGTTCTCCCACATGTGAGAGCGAAAGAGGAAACTTTTGAAGGCTTATCCATTACTTGACTGTATGCCCCACTGCTGATAGGACCTCGGGTTCCTGGAATATATAAAATGAGATGCCAGGAATAGTTATCAAAAACAAATCCAGAAGTGAAAACCTATCAAAACTAGTATTTCCAGGATTTCTAATAGGCAGAATTTATCTGCAATGTTGTAAAAGAAGCACTGGCATTGTAAGAACTAATGAATTGCTCTACATTCTTAGGAACAGAGTAGTCCAGCACTTTTAAGAATACGACAACCAGTTTTTCTTCATTCATATATGAAGTTAATACATTAATATTATTCTAATCTTTCATTTTAAGGAAATGAGAATTCAAACCTTTCCATTTTGATAAAGAGCAACAAAGCAGTTGGCATCCAGTTGTGGTGCTCTGAATGTAGCCATCTCTAAGTCACATGCTAACCAGTAATCACACCCCTCCATTCTTTTTTAAACAGTAAGACCTTTAGTGAAGAATTTTAGTGACCCCTCCCACCAGAAAAGCCACCTACCTCTATTCTGACGCATGAGTATCTGGACCAATGGTTATGACTACACAATTTAACTGTATGAAAGGATCATAGTTTATCCCCTTATTGTCACAAAATGTCACTTTCAATTCTATAAAAGCTACCAGCCCCACGGGTCATAAAGATAATGAGATAGCAGCTACCTAAATACTGAATAGATGCCTCAAGCAATTTTGTCACAAGCTGACAATATTTTGCTGTCTGCATTGAGAAGTAAAAAGGTGTTATTTTTAACATGCAAGTTCCACTGACTAATTTTACCATGAGCTGAGAAAGCAAGAAGCTGAATTGATTCCACTTTCAGCTTACTTGTTGAGTCAAGTAAACTAACTCCCCTAGCAAATGCTTCCAATGAATGCTGCACTTATATCAGATAAAGATCTACAATGCTAAGTTCATTTGTATCTCTCTTTATGAACAAATTATCTCAATGATTTCTGTATTTGTCATGGTGTGAATACAAATCTTAATAATAAAATTAATTTTGTGAAATTATAGATAAGTACTTATCACTTTTCTCTTCATGTTTATTTGCTCAATATCTACACTATTTATTCACAGATAGACCAAAACTTTTTCTCAAAACAAAGCTACAAGGAAACAAGAAATATACTATTATACCCACATCAAAAATGAAACATAGCAAGATATACGGGTGAGGACTTTTAGTTCACACAGTATCTCAGATCAGTGCTAGTACATAGTAAGCACTCAGCAAATACTGAATGAATGAATGAATGAATGAATGAATGGGCCATTTCAAGAACTCAAGCAAATTCTCTGCAAGTTCAGGACTAAACACTAGAACAATGGAGCATAAAAGTATCAGTTCACATAGTATACTGCCTAGAATATTAAACATTTTTGAATAGTATTAGATTAAAGTTATATATGAGAGAATAAACTGAACTTCTTAATACTGCAGTGGTTTGCAAAGTAAAAAGGTAAGAGACTTCTATATGTATATAATAAAAAAATAAAGGAGTTGTGTCCTAAGATTATCACTAACACTAGCCTATTTCTCATTCAAATCTCAGTTCTCAAATTCATTATTCAGTACTAGCCACTCACTTAGTAATTTCTTTTTTTCTTTTTCCTTTTTCTGAGAGTTGTGCTCTGTCAGCCAGGCTAGAGTGCAGTTGCATCATCATCATAGCTCACTGCAACCTCCAGCTCCTGGGCTCAAGTGATCCTCCTGCTTCAGCCTCCTGAGTAGCTGGACTACAGGCCTGCACACCATACTCGGCTAATTTCTACTTTTTTTTGTAGAGATGAGGGGGGTGGTGTCAGCATATTCTGCTCAGGCTGGTCTCGAACTTCGGGCCTCAGCAATCCTTCTAGTCCCTCAGCCTCCAAATGCTAGAGTTATAGATGTGAGCCACTGTGCCAGCCCACTAGTAGTTTCCAGCAGAGACTACTATTGGTCAGGAAGAAAGGCTGGAAGATATAAACTAACTGAGATTTCTGTTATTTATTTCCAGTGATATACGAGATTATCTGGGCCAACGCTACCGATTCATGAGACCATCTTAATGGCCTTGAATAACACTATCCAGGTACTACATAGATTACATACCATACATCGCTCTTTATCGAGGCTGAATGTCTTTTGACAAGTTATCATAAACATTAAGGAGAAAATGTAGATGATTTTAATTATACAGACAACAGTGAAAATAAAAACATAATAACATGTTTTTTCAGAAACTCAGGAATCAACTCACATATTGTTCCTACTAGTTTTACCCTCCAAACAAAAGCCACCCTGAAAGTGATTCTTCTTCAAATAAATCAGAGCAACCCTCTTCCCTGCCATTTACTTTGCCAGTCGAACCATCCCCAATAACTGACATCCAACCGAAGTTCAAATGTTTTATTACATTCTTCCTTTATTTCATAAGATAATTTGTTACCTGACATCCAACATACATACCCTTGAAATCAACACTTCAATAAATATGATATCATTATAACACTTCATCCAACTTCTTCACATGGAAGAAGGTGGTGTTCAGTAACAGCAGCTAATTTAGCCCAGAACTGTTAACGACGGTATGTTACAAGAAAATTAGCAAAGTGCAAGCTAGTGGGAAATCAAGGCTCTGGACCAGGTGCTCCAAGCACACTTCTACACGGGGCTCTTGACAGCGGGCCATTGCTTATCTTGCCAAGCCACTTCATTTGCCCAGGGGGCTTTGTGTCGCTCCAGTTTTCCCAGAACCTACCCCTCATGGGTGTTGCTGCAAACATATGTAGATTAACCCAGCCCAGACAACCATGTGCTTTAGCAGCTCCTAACTCAGAAAGTTATCCAAAGAAATGCCATAAGATGTTTATCATTTTGAGATCTCAATTAACTTTCCTCAATAAAATAACGCTCTACCTAAACATTTATGTTTAAACATTCACGACAGCCACAGCAATTCCTAACCATTGCACATACCAAAAACACAGCTTCATAATTCCTGAATTAATGTTGTGACTGATTCAGAATTAGTGATTATTAATTACATCACTTAGGTACAATCACTATTCGACTGACTACAAAGGTTTTATTATTAACCAAATTCTCGTGCTATTAAAAGACCTGCAGTTGGGGAAATGAGCTAGAACGCACCTGAAGATCTTTTAAAACGCAGAATGCAGATACCCTTGGAGAGTCCTTCCATTCTATATCCACCCTATCCTAACCTGTTCCGCACACGGCATATCAGAATCTCCGGTACTGATGTTGCATTTAAATATCCCAGGTATTTTACATGACAACCCCAGGTAAAACTCTATGTTATTTATATGTATATGCATTACTGGTAGTGCTAACTTTTTATTTGTTGACTTTGTGATGTCTGAATTTGATGTGCTGAGGTTACTGCATTATAATGAAAGTGAAAATACCTTAGGCTCCCTTCCATAAGAGGCAGGGGTAAAGAGGAAGGATTTACTGCTTTTTGCAGAGTAGACTTGAGATATGAGGATTAACACAAAATGTTGTTCCATCTAAAATTAATCCTGACCATAATTATTTATCCTAGAAATTAAATTTTACTGAATTAAAATAAAACAGCTGACTTTAAAAAAAAATCATCTCACACTCTTCCAGGTTCCTATTTGAATGGCTTATGGTCAAAACTCATGGGAGGAGTTGCATAGGCAATAGTATTCTCTCAGGCAGTAATTGAAGATAATTAATAGCGAGTAAGTTATATCAGTTATACTGTAAGACTTTGAGACAAAAATCTCTGCAGACAAAATTAGAAATAAATCTACAGATTCTGTTTTAAATATGGTTTAACCACCTTTTTATTATCCAAGAATACTTTTGTGAAAAAATGGGGTAAGATGGTGTTCAAATAAAGACAGCCTAAAAGCAAGTCTTGGTTTCTTTGGAGCATGAGTTACTCTCACAAACTTAGAACTCTTTGAGGCCAGAGACATACATATTTCTCCATTTTGCATCCTCATTCTTGGCATGCAGGTTTGTGTAGTATAAATGAACATGGAATGTGGAGTATAAAGGCCTGAATTACAACTCTGCACTTACTAGATTTTATGATTTGTAAGACTCTGTTTCCCTTCTGAAAAATGGAAAATAATGCCTTAATGGGTGGGGTTTCAATGAAAGCTAATTAATAATATAAAATTCAAATACTGTAGATACAGAATAAATACTAAATAATTCTACTATCTCAACCTTTTCCATCTCTATCAATTTTTGAGCTTCCTGGGGAAGGATCAGCATCTTTCTCGTATATGCATCTTAAATGCCTGGCAAGATGCCTAACATACAGTTTGAACTGAATAAATGTTGCTGAAAGACTGAAGGACACAGAAAAAGTGCTAAAGATCATATACTTTTACCTGGTTTTAAAGTTAAATAATTATAATATATAGGATCAATTCATTTCATTCTATCTTGAGATCAAAGCTAGTAACTTATAATGTTAATGTCTTTGCTACATATTAACATAATAAATGGTAATTTGAAAACAAGGCAGTTTAAAATGCATGCAAAATTTGATTTGCACACATTTTCAACCACAGCATTATAAATCAAATGAAAGTGATCTAAATTTGATAGATTAAGTATCATTTTTTTAAAAAAAATGAGCTGAAAGCAAAATGATAAATTTAAAGTATTACATTACTGACAAGTAAAACAAACTAAGACACCCTTTTAAAGGACTTAATTTGCTCTAGAAGATTAAGACTACAAGACTGTAAAAGGTTTTCATTTTTGTGTCTATTGGAAATAATCCACTCATTTTAGAAATGAGTGGAATAGTTCAGTTCAAGTCTAAAAAGAGATAAATCCCCAAACTATTTACAGATTCTGCATTTTTGAGCATGAGTAACTTCTTTGTGTTACTAAACTAGTGATTTGAGCCAAGAGAAATTATTCACCTGGTAAAAATGACAAGTGTTATCACTGACTTTGTAAACAATCCTGTCAGCGACAGTCAGACACTTACCAATGTACATAGAATTAAAATGTTTGTTCTTAAAAGACTGATTTTGTGTACACACACACAAATATAGACACTAAATAAACTAAAAATAGGTATTAATGGAGACAAATGCAGAATGTTAACAGTTCTCCAAACACCTTTTTCTACTTTTTATTCAATAACAGCTTTTTTCCTCCCCAAGTGGAGTTGGTTCATGGCTGTAACACTCTAGTAACTCTGGAGCATTGCAAAGTGAAAGAGATAAGAACGTTTTTAGCTACTCCTGAATAGAAATAATTTTGAACTAAAAAAACATTTTCTCTCCCTTAAACAACTATAATGTGAACTCTATTATTAATGTAATGAGCCATAAATGTTGCTCCATTCATAGTTACGGATACCATTCAGTAAACACTTATCTTTAAGTAGCAGAAGACATAAGTTTTGGAAGAATGTTATTGCAAGTAATGACAAATAACATTATTAACAATAAAAGTGATACAGATACAACACAAAATTGGGCTGCAAGCAGATTTTTAAGGGAATTTAAAAATTTGCTTTAAGATGATGCTTTTAATAAATCTTTTTCTCTTTTTATTCTAAAAGAAAAAATTAAAATCTATAAATGCTAATCACAACCAAACATACACAACATAATTGGATATCTAACAAAAATTAGTAGCTATAAGTCCATAGAATGGATTCTTTAAGTTTATTATAAATTATAAATAGGTAAAATTGATTTAAATAGGAATATATAGAATTCTCAAGATAAATAAAAAATATATATAATTCTCAAGATCAGTATTATTCCCTCTAAATCATCAACAATTACAAGAACCAGATTTTATTAATCCATTTGACATAATGTTAAAGCAGTGTGAGAGATTATAAGATAAATGTTTTCAAGCAGCAAAAGTATTCTGGCTTCTCCTTTTATACTAATATTATTAAGGTTTTTCAAAGCATTTTTATCTTCAAATAGCCATCTTAATAAGAGATTGGGTCAATTTAAATAAATTATCTATTGCTTTAACCATACTGCAGTAAGCAATACTATTACATTAAAATGAACATTCACCTTTTAAATTGATTTTTAAAACAGACTAACGGATTTCTGTTATTATTTCCAGTGATACTAAGAGATTATCTGGGCCAACAGCTACCGATTCATGAGACCATCTTAATGCCTTGAATAACATATCAGGTAAAATAAATTAATACTATACATAGCTCTTATGAGGTGAAAAATGTATTTAGGACATTATATATTTAGGAGAAAATAATTGTTGTTTATCAATTTTATCAGACACAAGTGCAAAATCAAAATAATTGTTTTTCAGAAACTGGATAATCGGCCGGGCGCTGTGGCTCACGCCTGTAATCCTAGCTCTTGGGAGGCCGAGGGGGCGGATTGCTCAAGTCAGGAGTTCAAAACCAGCCTGAGCAAGAGCGAGACCGTCTCTACTATAAATAGAAAGAAATTAATTGGCCAACTGATATACAGAGAAAAAATTAGCTGGGCATGGTGCGCATGCCTGTAGTCCAGCTACTCGGAGCTGAGGCAGGAGGATCACTCGAGCCCAGGAGTTTGAGGTTGCTGTGAGCTAGGCTGACGCCACGGCACTCACTCTAGCCTGGACAACAAAGCGAGACTCTGTCTCAAAAAAAAAAAAATTTAAAAAAAAAAAAAAAGAAACTGGATAATCATATTGTAACTAGTCTTTACCTCCACAAAACCCCCCTGAAGTGATCTCTTCTTCAAATACATCAGAGAACCCTTCCTGCATTTAGCTTTGCCAGTCGACCATCAATAACTGAAATCAAGAGTGTCAAATGTTTTAATTTTTCATTTATTTCATAAGACTAAATTTTACTGACATAAAAATAGCATACCCTTGCATATAAATTATATTAATATGATATACATATACACACATATAATAAAATTCTCAAACAATGGAAAGAAGGTGTGTTCAGTAAACGCAGCTAATTAAGCCAGAAATGTACAGCACAGGCTAACTTTGTTAACAAGAAATAGCAAAGTGCAGTAGTGAGGATCACAGTCTGGACAGGTTGCTCAACGCACAACCTCTACACAGGGCTTTGCACGAGGCATTGCTATCTTGCCAAGCCATTTGCCCAGGGGCTGTGTCCTCAGTTTCCCCAGTACCTACCTCATGGTGTTGCTGCAAACATTAAATTAGATTAACCCAGACCATGTGCTTAGCAGTCTCTAACTCAAAAGTATCAAAGAAATGTTAGATGTTATCATTTTTGAGATTAATATTAAATTCACTCAATAAAATAACGCTCCTAGTCTAAACAATTATGTTCTAAACCATAAGAGCGCACACAATTCTAACCATTGAACAATACAATAAACACAGCTTTCATAAGTTCCTGACATATGTGTTGACTGATCAGAATTATGATTATTAATTTAATACAACTTAGTAAACACATATTACTTGACATACATAAGGTTATTTTAAACAATATTTTTAGTGCTATTAAAAAAGACACTGCAGTGGAAATAGAAGCTATGAAAAGCACCTGAAGATCTTTTCCAAAACGCAGAAATGCAGATACCCTGGAGAGTCCCTTCCATTACCTATTCCACCCTATCCCTAACCTGTTCCCGCACACGGCATATCAGAATCCCAGGTACTGATGTTGCATTTAAAAAATATCCCAGGTATTTTTACATGACCAACCCCAGGTAAAACTATGATATATTTATATGTATATGCATTACTGGTATTGCTAACTTTTATTTTGTTGATTTGTGATGTCTGAAATTTGATGTCCGAGGTTACTGATTTATAAGGAAGGTGAAATACCTTAAGGCTCCCTTCCATAAGAGGCAGGGGTAACAGAGGAAGATTTACATGCTTTTTGCAGAGTAGACTTGAAGATATGAGGATTAACACAAAATGTTTTCATCCTAAAATTAATCCTGACCATAATTATTTATCCTAGAATTTAAATTTTAACTGAATTAAATAAAACAGCTTGACTTTAAAAAAAATCATCTCACACTCTTCCCAGGTTTCCTATTTGAATGACTTATGGTCAAAACTCATTGGGAGGAGTTGCATAGGCAATACAGTATTCCTCAGGCAGTATATGAAGATAATTAATAGCAGAGTAAGTTATATCAGTTATACTGTAAGACTTTGAGACAAAAATCTCTTGCAGCCAAAATTAAGAAAAAATCTACAGATTCCTGTTTAAAATATGGTTTAACCACCTTTTTATTATCATAGAATACTTTTGTGAAAAAAATGGGGTAAGATGGGTTCAAATAAAGACAGCCTAAAGAACAAAGTCTTGGCTTCTTTGGCAATGAGTTACTCTCACAAACTATAGAACTCTGAGGCCAGAGACATACATATTATCCATTTTGCATCCTCATTCTTGGCATGCAGGTTTTGTGTAGTATAAATGAACATGGAATGTGGAGTATAAAAGGCCTGAATTACAATTCTGCCACTTACTAGATTTTATGATCTGTAAGACTCTGTTTCCCCTTCTGAAAAATGGGAATAATAAAATGCCTTAATGGGTGGGTTTCATGAAAGCTAATTAAAATAATAAAAAGTGTCAATACTGTAGATACAGAATAAATACTAAATAATTCTACTACCTCAACCTTTTCCATCTCTATCAATTTTTGAGCCACTTAAAGAATAAAAGAAATGAAATACATAAGTTTTTTTTTTGTTTTTTTTATATTTTTTTCTTTTTTTTTTTTTTTTTTTTTTTTTGAAGAGGAAATGAAGTCAGAAGAAATACAGTGTTTATCAACTGTTTTAATGTTGGGCAATAAAGCCTCAATCTGTGAAAGATTTTAAAATTCTCATCAAATCTTACTACCCTACCTAATTCCTTGCTCTGGAATGTAATGTAGGGTGACAGTGAAATCTTGCTTTTCAAAAGAAACCATTTATCTCTGGGGGAAAAAGTTTCTATTTTAAAATTATCTTTGTGAAGATCAACAAACTAGAAACATAAACTAAAAATATTTTGAATGCAACACAATATACAAACATTTCCAATATTGCAAATAAACAGCGTAAGTATCAATAGCGTACTTTTACTGAACAGTTCTCCACATGTGAGAGCGAAAGAGGAAACTTTGAAGGCTTATCATTACCTTGACTGTATGCACCCACTGCTGATAGGACCTCGGGTTCCCTGGAATATATAAAAATGAGATGCCAGGAATAGTTGATCAAAAACAAATCCAGAAGTGAAAACCTATCAAAAACTAGTATTTCCAGGATTTTAATAGGCAAATTTTATCTGCAATGTTGTAAAAGAAGCACTGGCATTGTAAGAACTAATGAATTGCTCTAATTCTTAGGAACAGAGTAGTCAGCACTTTTAAGAATAGACAACCAGTTTTTCTTCATTCATATATGAAGTTAATACATTAATATTATTCTAATCTTTCATTTTAAGGAAATGAGAATTCAAAACCTTTCCATTTTGATAAAGAGCAACAAAGCAGTTGGCATCCAGTTGTGGTGCTCTGAATGTAGCCATCTCTAAGTCACATGCTAACCAGTAATCACACCCCCTCCCCATTCTTTTTTAAACAGTAAGACCTTTAGTGAAGAATTTTAGTGACCCCTCCCACCAGAAAAGCCACCTACCTCTATTCTAACGCATGAGTATCTGGACCAATGGTTATGACTACACAATTTAACTGTATGAAAGGATCATAGTTTTATCCCCCTTATTGTCACAAAATGTCACTTTCAATTCTATAAAAGCTACCAGCCCCACGGGTCATAAAGATAATGAGATAGCAGCTACCTAAATACTGAATAGATGCCTCAAGCAATTTGTCCACAAGCTGACAATATTTTGCTTGTCTGCATTGAGAAGTAAAAAGGTGTTATTTTAACACGCAAGTTCCACTGAAGCTAAATTTTTACCCATGAGCTGAGGAAAGCAAGAAGCTGAATTGATTCCACTTTCAGCTTACTTGTTGAGTCAAGTAAACTAACTCCCCTAGCAAATGCTTCCAATGAAATGCTGCACTTATATCAGATAAAGATCTACAATGCTAAGTTCATTTGTATCTCTCTTTATGAACAAATTATCTCAATGATTTCTGTATTTTCATGGTGTGAACATAAATCTTAATAATAAAATTAAATTTTGTGAAATTTATAGATAAGTACTTATCACTTTTCTCTTCATGTTTTATTTCTCAAATTCTAGCAACTATTTATTCACAGATAGACCAAAACTCTTTTCTCAAAACAAAGCTACAAAGAAAAAGAAATTACTATTATACCACATCAAAAATGAACATAGCAAGATATAGAGGGTGAGGACTTTTAGTTCACACAGTATCTAGATCAGTGCCTAGTACATAGTAAGCACTCAGCAAATACTGAATGAATGAATGAATGAATGAATGAATGAATGAATGAATGGGACATTTCAAGAACTCAAGCAAAATTCTCTGCAAGTCAGGACTAAACACTAGAACAATGGAGCATAAAAGTATCAGTTCACAAATAATTAACTGCCTAGAAAATTATAACATTGTTTGAATGTTTACATTAGATGGATTAATTATATTTATGGAATGGTAAACTGAAAACCTTCTTAATACTGCAGTGGTTTGCAAAGTAAAAAAGGTAAGGACTTCTATATGATATACTTAAAAACATAAAAGGAGTTGTGTCCAAACCTTTCTTTTCAGATTGTATCACAATCTACTATTTCATTCATAATCTCAGTTCTCAAATTCATATTCAGTACTAGCCATCACTAGTAATTTCTTTTTTTCTTTTTCTTTTTCTGAGAGTCTTGCTCTGTCAGCCAGGCTAGAGTGCAGTTGCATCATCATCATAGCTCACTGCAACCTCCAGCTCCTGGGCTCAAGTGATCCTCCTGCTTCAGCCTCCTGAGTAGCTGGGACTACAGGCCTGCACCACCATACTCGGCTAATTTTCCTATTTTTTTGTAGAGATGAGGGGGTGGTGGTCTCACTATTTTGCTCAGGCTGGTCTTGAACTTCGGGCCTCAAGCAATCCTTCTATCTCAGCCTCCCAAAGTGCTAGAGTTATAGATGTGAGCCACTGTGTCCAGCCCCACTAGTAGTTTTCCAGCAGAGACTACTATTGGTCAGGAAGAAAGGCTGGAAGATATAAACTAACTGGATTTCTGTTATTTATTTCCAGTGATACTAAGAGATTATCTGGGCCAACAGCTACCGATTCATGAGACCATCTTAATGCCTTGAATAACATATCAGGTAAAATAAGTTAATACTATACATAGCTCTTATGAGGTGAAAAATGTATTTAGGACATTATATATTTAGGAGAAAATAATTAGTTGTTTATCAATTTTATCAGACACAAGTGCAAAAATCAAAATAATTGTTTTTCAGAAACTGGATAATCATATTGTAACTAGTCTTTACCTCCACAAAAGCCCCCTGAAGTGATCTCTTCTTCAAATACATCAGAGAAACCTCTTCCTGCATTTAGCTTTGCCAGTCGACCATCAATAAACTGAAATCAAGAAGTGTCAAATGTTTTAATTTTTCATTTATTTCATAAGACTAAATTTTTACTGACATAAAAAATAGCATACCCTTGCATATAAATTATATTAATATGATATACATATACACACATATAATAAAATTCTCAAACAATGGAAAGAAGGTGGTGTTCAGTAAACAGCAGCTAATTAAGCCAGAAATGTACAGGACAGGCTAACTTTGTTAACAAGAAATAGCAAAGTGCAGTAGTGAGGATCACAGGTTCTGGACAGGTTGCTCAACGCACAACCTCTACACAGGGCTTTGCACAGAGGCATTGCTATCTTGCCAAGCCATTTGCCCAGGGGGCTGTGTCCTCAGTTTCCCCAGTACCTACCTCATGGTGTTGCTGCAAACATTAAATTAGATTAACCCAGACCATGTGCTTAGCAGTCTCTAACTCAGAAAGTATCAAAGAAATGTTAGATGTTATCATTTTTGAGATTAATATTAAATTCACTCAATAAAATAACGCTCCTAGTCTAAACAATTATGTTCTAAACCATAAGAGCGCCACACAATTCTAACCATTGAACAATACAATAAACACAGCTTTCATAAGTTCCTGACATATGTGTTGACTGATCAGAATTATGATTATTAATTTAAATACAACTTAGGTAAACACATATTGACTTGACATACATAAGGTTATTTTAAACAATATTTTTCAGTGCTATTAAAAAAGACACTGCAGTGGGAAATAGAAGCTATGAAAAGCACCTGAAGATCTTTTCCAAAACGCAGAAATGCAGATACCCTGGAGAGTCCCTTCCATTACCTATTCCACCCTATCCCTAACCTGTTCCCGCACACGGCATATCAGAATCTCCAGGTACTGATGTTGCATTTAAAAAATATCCCCAGGTATTTTTACATGACCAACCCCAGGTAAAAATCTATGATATATTTTATATGTATATGCATTACTGGTAGTTGCTAACTTTTTATTTTGTTGATTTGTGATGTCTGAAATTTGATGTGCTGAGGTTACTGCATTTATAATGAAGGTGAAATACCTTAAGGCTCCCTTCCATAAGAGGCAGGGGGTAACAGAGGAAGGATTTACATGCTTTTTGCAGAGTAGACTTGAAGATATGAGGATTAACACAAAATGTTGTTTCATCCTAAAATTAATCCTGACCATAATTATTTTATCCTAGAAATTTAAATTTTAACTGAATTAAAATAAAACAGCTTGACTTTTAAAAAAAATCATCTCACACTCTTCCCAGGTTTCCTATTTGAATGACTTATGGTCAAAACTCATTGGGAGGAGTTGCATAGGGCAATATAGTATTCCTCAGGCAGTAATTGAAGATAATTAATAGCAGAGTAAGTTATATCAGTTATACTGTAAGACTTTGAGACAAAAATCTCTTGCAGACCAAAATTAAGAAAAAATCTACAGATTCCTGTTTAAAATATGGTTTAACCACCTTTTTATTATCATAGAATACTTTTGTGAAAAAAATGGGGTAAGATGGGTTCAAATAAAGACAGCCTAAAAGAACAAAGTCTTGGCTTTCTTTGGAGCATGAGTTACTCTCACAAAACTTAGAACTCTTTGAGGCCAGAGACATACATATTATCCATTTTTGCATCCTCATTCTTGGCATGCAGGTTTTGTGTAGTATAAATGAACATGGAATGTGGAGTATAAAAGGCCTGAATTACAACTCTGCCACTTACTAGATTTTATGATCTGTAAGACTCTGTTTCCCCTTCTGAAAAATGGGAATAATGCCTTAATGGGTGGTCATTTGAAGCTAATTAAAATAATAAAAAGTGTCAATACTGTAGATACAGAATAAATACTAAATAATTCTACTATCCTCAACCTTTTCCATCTCTATCAATTTTTGAGCTTCCTGGGGAAGGATCAGCATCTTTCTCGTATATGCATCTTAAATGCCTGGCAAGATGCCTAACATACAGTTTGAACTGAATAAATGTTGCTGAAAGACTGAAGGACACAGAAAAAGTGCTAAAGATCATATACTTTTACCTGGTTTTAAAGTTAAATAATTATAATATATAGGATCAATTCATTTCATTCTATCTTGAGATCAAAGCTAGTAACTTATGTTAATGTCTTTGCTACATATTAACATAATAAATGGTAATTTGAAAACAAGGCAGTTTAAAATGCATGCAAAATTTGATTTGCACACATTTTCAACCACAGCATTATAAATCAAATGAAAGTGATCTAAATTTGATAGATTAAGTATCATTTTTTTAAAAAAATGAGCTGAAAGCAAATGATAAATTTAAAGTATTACATTACTGACAAGTAAAACAAACTAAGACACCTTTTAAAGGACTTAATTTGCTCTAGAAGTTAAGACTACAAGACTGTAAAAGTTTCATTTTTGTGTCTATTGGAAATAATCCACTCATTTTAGAAATGAGTGGAATAGTTCAAGTCTAAAAAGAGATAAATCCCCAAACTATTTACAGATTCTGCATTTTTGAGCATGAGTAACTTCTTTGTGTTACTAAACTAGTGATTTGAGCCAAGAGAAATTATTCACCTGGTAAAAATGACAAGTGTTATCACTGACTTTGTAAACAATCCTGTCAGCGACAGTCAGACACTACCAATGTACATAGAATTAAATGTTTGTTTTAAAAGACTGATTTTGTGTACACAACACAATATAGACACTAAATAAACTAAAAATAGGTATTAATGGAGACAAATGCAAATGTTAACAGTTCTCCAAACACCTTTTCTACTTTTTATTCAATAACAGCTTTTTTCCTCCCCAAGTGGAGTTGGTTCATGGCTGTAACACTCTAGTAACTCTGGAGCATTGCAAAGTGAAAGAGATAAGAACGTTTTTAGCTACTCCTGAATAGAAATAATTTGAACTAAAAAACATTTCTCTCCCTTAAACAACTATAATGTGAACTCTATTATTAATGTAATGAGCCATAAATGTGCTCCATTCATAGTTACAGATACCATTGTAAACACTTATCTTTAAGTAGCAGAAGACATAAGTTTTGGAAGAATGTTATTGCAAGTAATGACAAATAACATTATTAACAATAAAAGTGATACAGATACAACACAAAATTGGGCTGCAGCAGATTTTAAGGATTTAAAAATTGCTTTAAGATGATGCTTTTAATAAATCTTTTCTCTTTTTATTCTAAAAAAAAATTAAAATCTATAAATGCTAATCACAACCAAACATACAACATAATTGGATATCTAACAAAAATTAGTAGCTATAAGTCCATAGAATGGATTCTTTAAGTTTATTATAAATTATAAATAGGTAAAATTGATTTAAATAGGAATATATAGAATTCTCAAGATAAATAAAAAATATATATAATTCTCAAGATCAGTATTATTCCCTCTAAATCATCAACAATTACAAGAACCAGATTTTATTAATCCATTTGACATAATGTTAAAGCAGTGTGAGAGATTATAAGATAAATGTTTTCAAGCAGCAAAAGTATTCTGGCTTCTCCTTTTATACTAATATTATTAAGGTTTTTCAAAGCATTTTTATCTTCAAATAGCCATCTTAATAAGAGATTGGGTCAATTTAAATAAATTATCTATTGCTTTAACCATACTGCAGTAAGCAATACTATTACATTAAAATGAACATTCACCTTTTAAATTGATTTTTAAAACATAATTATATACAAAATGGGTGTTTCAAGAATGCAGCATAACAAAGAATTGACTCTATGTCAAGCTTCTTTCCAAAAAATATAAAGAATATGTTCTGATCAGATTCACAGATTAAACCTGAATATACTGGCTAGTAAATGGGTAGGAATGTATCTGTCCTATAAGAGATAAATTATATGCTTTTTACAGTTCTTTATTCACCAGTAAATGTATTTCCAAAATTTAATCTAAAAATCCTATAGTGGACTAGGCCATTATGGGTGTATTAATGCCCTTACTGGTCTAGACATATGTTATACAAATATATACCTGCAATTAATCCATCAAAACTCTCAAGATAATAATTGAATTTCAAGCTTTGAATATAATTTTTTAAATATTTTCTTTTAAAAAAAAGCTCATAAAAAAGATTGTGCTGGGGAGATGCGGTCAGAGGTTCAATTCTCTGCCGAGCTGAAGTTAGCAGACAGAGCACTGTTTCTGTGCTAACCAGGCAGCCCTGCTACTGACACAAAGCAGCAGAGGCACTAAAACACAGTAAACAAATCTAAACACCCAAATTCCTCCTTCAGCCTGGAGAAAAAATTACCATATCCCAAAAGTTTCTCTCATGTTAGGAACCCTTCTTAGGTACAAAGATTAGATAACTACTCTAATCAAATTAAAGTCTAAGAGCTAGAGAAAAATATAGTTTTTTTAAAAAAATCAATCAGAAGTCTTCAGCAATTCAAAGAAAAAATTTAAATACAATAAAAAATTGCTTTTAAAAATATATTAATTTTTAATGAATCTTTAAATTTGACTTTCTATGAATGCTCTGGGCTAAAAATTTAATAAACAGTCTAATTTAAATATTGCTTCTTATAAATGCTCAGTAAACCTTGACAGGTTAGTGAAAACTTATACTAAAGTGTTACAATAAATTAAATCAACAGATATTTATAGACACCTGCTAAATGCAAAGCATTCAGTTAACAGCTACATATAAACACAAAATGCTGTAACAAGTGGAATAGGGTAGGTCAGTTCAGAGCTCAAACCTAGAAAATTAAGTATTTGAAAGAATAGAAATAAATTGTTATTTTTATGCCATTTCAAAGATTAGGTAATCAGATGACTGTAAGGCTCTAGTCTACTACAGTAGATTACCATGGCACAATGAACAGGAACACACTTCTGAAGAGTATGAAGAGCCTATTTAGTACAACTTATTACTAGAATGAACAACAAAGTAACAGTAACAGACAACACTTCTACCTTCAAGGATACACCACCCTGACTAGTCAGCGGCCACCAACACTGAGGCC